CCGGGCTCTATTCGCCTGGCTTGTCTGGGTTATAATCTTTGTCGACGGCTCACTCATCTACCAGGGCCCTGCATAACAGTCCATTCATCGGAAACCGTCCCGCTGGCTTTCGAAAGTCCGATTTGGACCGAATTGAGGATCAAAAACCCACTTTAAAAATCATCTGACATAAATCATGTACATGTATGTGGTTGGCTGACAGCATGAAATTTATCTAATACCATGTAGAGGGGACGGTTTCAAATAGGACACAGGTTGCAAACCGGAACGGACTCAATATTCACTTTCTCTCTTGGTATTTTGATTAGAAAACATATGTCACAGTGAGACTACGACGTGTTATACTCCGAGCCAAAATTTCTAGGGCTGAAACAATTATACCGATAACTCGCATATCGATCGTTAAGAGTGCAATCGATAATCGTTAGTGTTCAAAACGAGTGCTAACGATTTTTTATGCATGCATATTAGTGACAGTATTCTAGCCCTTGCACTCCATCCGATAGTGGATACGAGTACAATCATGTACTTTCAAGTGCAGTAAAATTGATTTGTGTCTTTGAAAGAGATCGGGAGAGAAGACTTTGCCTTTTCGGTTCATTCGTGGGAGAAGAGAACAGTTGCCAGAGGGTGATGACAAAATTCTTCGCTCTAGAAACAACATGAAGCTCTCTACTTGAGTAGTTCATGTTGATAAAACCAGCCAGATATCTACAGATGTCAACACTGCGGTGCCACAAATTTCTAACGTAGCAAAGGCATCATGGAATGTCTTCATAAACTCGTGTTCGATTGAGCTGACAAGAATCGATAAAACCAATAATATCGATCGTTGATGATATTGGTTGATCGTTAGGAGTTATTGAATGATCGTTTCAGCCCTAAACATTTCTTGGCTCTGCCATGACCAGAAGCGCCATACCAAGAAGGTGAGTTTTTGACGTGTTGCTTCGCACTGCGACTTGAGTTTTACGACTTTCGAAAAATCAACTTCTTGTCGCAGGTAAACAGCGGCTCGCCTCTCGCCAATAAAGCACCGCATACCAATCAAAACTAATGGAAGAACACACAAGGCTTATTGTTACTCTGTACTGGCCGTCGTGGAGCGATAGCAATTACCTAGTTTCAGACCCAGAGTGAATTTGACGTGCACTCTAAAACGTGTCTGGTTTGGAGCCACCTCTGATTTGAACTTTTTTGAAGCGAAAAATTGGGCAACTTGGAGGCAATGGGTCAACACAAAGGAGTGGCTCAGTTCGATTGACTCTGGCCCCAGAGCAAACTTCAACATGCCAGTTTCCTTCCACAAACATATTTCGAGTGAAAAATCAACGCTGATGATCGGTTTGGGTCTATACAAATTTGGCTGTCAAAGCGTTCCAGTATCGAACCGTCTACTCTACACAAAGGCAGAAGAGAACAGAGACAGCCGGCTAGGTCATTGTTGTAACGCTGCGTTTCATGCACATAGCAAAGCTAAGGCAATCCTCAGACTGTCTCTGTTCTCTTCTGCCTTTGTGGTAATGCTCCAATGATCCTTGTGGTGTTGAGCACTCTAGGCAATCTGGGAACTCTGGCTATTGTAATACCATGTGCATGCATGTGCAGGATGTCCGGCGCCAGACAGGTGTGCTGGCATAGTGCTACATTGTCTATTTACCGGCACAAACAGCCGTGGCGCCAGAACACCTGAAGTGGCAAAGTGCCACTGTATCAACCAACCCTAGCCAGATTATAAGTACTTTACTTTCAATTGTACATGTCACAAGTTCTCACAACCATCAGATTTTAAACCTGATACTGTGATTTTACACTCATTAGTTTAGGGAGTTGAGACTTAGGGTGCGTTCTTATATTCTCTAGCTTCTAGAAGAAGAAGAAAAGAGAAGTCGAAGAAACTGGGATTACTCAAGAACGGGTCTCGAAGAATTCGGAGATATTTTGCACATGTCAAGCAAAATGAAGCGTCAAAGGGGCCGCGATCTTGACTGATGAATGTATGTGCGTATGCGAAAAGGGAAATGCGTACACTCATGATGAACACGAGGCTTTTAGTCGTAGTTTGCATGCGCTGATCCCAAACCGCGGGAATCTCCAAGTTTCAACCACCTCTGAAGCTTGGAGAGCTTTGGAGAGCCTCCTAAAAGTCGGAGAGGATATAAGAACAGCTCTCGAACTTTTCGTAGAGTCTCCAACTTTTCCGAGAGGATTTGAACGCACCCTTAGACTCAGATGGAGAGCCAATACTTTTTTTTTAATTATTTATAGTACAGAAAAAAGACCAAGGAACTACAAGTTACGCTATAATGTCCACTAGCACCACCACGGCACCAGTCTTGACAAACATCTCCTGCGATAACATTGTCGCCACGCATGACTGTCCGTGCATGCAGATGCATGCAGTGCAAATCCTGTTGTAGTCTGTGTCTATAGACTAGGTCACACAGCATGCAAATGATGATGTCATAGATGATGATGTCATAGATGATGATGTCATAGT